AATCCGTTTCAGCCGTTAAATACATCCTGAATAAAAAGACCTGTATAGCAAAAGTATACTTAAATTTTATAAGATACGCTTAGTTTGGGAAAGTACTCACTTTAATCCTGCTCTTGTACAATTGAGTAACGTAATGGGTAATTGTGGAAGGAACCGCATCACCCGGGGACCCGAACCCGTCCCTGCATGACAAGGTTTTCGCTGCAGGCTTTTATGGGAGGTTAAAGGAAAATCCATGGGACAGCAGCTGTACTCATTGGTCATTGTATGAGTACTCATGAACCCCTATCTGAATGACCCCTGTAGATGTTTCTTGGTAAGTCCTTTACTAAAAAAAATCGTGAAGACTCTCAGGCCTGAGGGAGACATTTATGAGCCTAAATATTGCAGTTTGAAACTTTGTAAAGCTTTTCGGACCTTTCTAGCTGTTTGGAATACATTTTTGGGTCCTGCTACACCCTCGAAAGGCAACGTACGTGTTTGAGTTCATTTTGATCTCGAACTATCCAATTCGGGCGATCTTCCAAGAACCGTTGCCAAACAGTCGTTCGGTTGACAACTGAAAAGCTCGATTGGCATTCTAATCAGACTAAAGGTTCTTCAAAGATGATAGCAATAAAGAGTTGAAAAGAGGAAACTTGCCAGCTGAGCTGGCTCTGCTGGTCAACTTCCAGCGCAGTGTGAGGGGCAGCACCATGACTGAGTGTTTTTATTCACTGCCACCCGATGTAATAACAACGCTGCACTCGATATAGAACAACAAAAACAGTGGCTTAACAAGAACGTGATGAATAAACATAACACTGTTTGCTGCATAGACCACCGATCATTCTACAGTCAAAGAGTAAAAAAATAGAGAAATAGTCCATATAGTGTCATAGCTTGCCTGGAATCGAAGGCAAGTGGCACGATAAATCGAGAAGTGGTACGATAAATAGAGAGGGCGTACATAATCCATCGGCAGCACGAAAGAACGTGTTCCCCTTAGCAAACGCTGTGTGACGCCTTTCCCAACCAAGGGACCATTATATAATACATAGCGGCTTACCAAGGTGCAACATGCCCACCCAAACGCCCAGCCGTCCACCCACAATTGGCCGTACAGTGACATCGACTCTGGTACTTTTTCGCTCATTTATGAAGTACAGTCGATATGAAGCATTGGATATATGAATACGTACAGTCCTCATCATTACGTACTGTCGGGGCGGTTCAGTGCGGCTGCGTTTGGCGCGGTGCCAAACCCGCTCTCCACCAGTATTTAAAGCGAGCAAATGATATGACTGTATTATATCCTCCGTATTACTCGTTTTCTACCACTTTTTGTCGCATACGCGTTTCAACAAAAAGGCTGAGAACGGCTTCAACAGTGTGCACACTCATACTGGCTGACACGCCCCACCGGTCCGCAATGATGAGGACTGTAAGTAAGTGAGTGGAGTTGATCTTGCGAAAGGGTGGCTTAGCTAACGGGATCGTCCTAGAATACTCTCCAAGGCAACGCAGAACAAAGGCTTTTTCGAAAGTTCTCGGTCTTTCACCTTCGCTTATTCGTCATTTCTCCTGTATAGTACCCCAGCCAGAATTTTGGAGCGAATAGCGCACTATCGTGCCTCAGACCTTTATGGAGAAACCTGTATTTCGAGGTTTACAATAGAGCGACCTTCACTGCTCCAGACGGACCCATATAGTAGGAAGAGGAATCGAAGGCATATGTCGAACAGTTTTGGCCTTTGTGTCATGCTCAGGGAAGCGTCAAATATGAGCAGTGTGTAGTGAACACGAAGAAATCCTCTCGCGCGAAAACGCCACGAGTTGGCTCATTTCATGCCACGTGACACCGCCCTGACAAGTAGTGATAGTATCAACTGTGCATCGCCAGATGGAACCGGAAGACAGTAGAGGTGCCGTTTAACGAAAAGTGGAAGGGGCATTTTGCACTTTTGCTACCTCTCATCAACGTGTCGGCTCATCTGAACAACCCCTTCTCGAGTTTACAGGTTTCAGCGTGGCAGTCAACGAGCTTGCTCCAGTTCACAAGGCGTTCACTACTTTTACTGCGAGTGAGTAAAACGCGGATATTGAAAGTAATGAAATTACAAGGTGCCCCCACCCCCCCCCCCCCCTCATACCATGGCCGATGAGCGGCGAAGTAGAACCGAGAGAAAGCGCAAAAACCACAAAAACAAGAGATAAAATAAAAAAGACAGAAAGAACCGTCAGCCTTTGTGCCATACAGCTGGTTTGTTGACCATCCTATGCTCGTTCGGTGACAGTGGAACTGCAGAAGCACTAAAAAGTTAGTCAGGAAGCACCGATATCATGATTTTAGAGCCCAAAGATTACGAATAGCAGTTACCTAACGTATCTTCTAACTTCTGCTATAGAGAAAAGCGCTATTTCTGCCTCAATTGGCCATGCTGAAAGTCATAAATACGACATTTATAGCCTTTTGAACACTTCTATGGTGCTGCACCCACACCTCATAGTGCCATATTCCCGTACCATCAAGGTACTAATGATTCATAAATACGAGTCTGGCAATTTCCAAGAAAGTCACGTGTGCAAGTCCGAAATGGGCGCTAATATATTGCCCAAAAGAGGGGGGGGCTTCGAAGAACACTTTGTGACAAGAGACAAGCAACGCCATCTGAATACAGTTATCGTGCTACAGGTACGTCCACATAAGCTGCAGCTGCTTCCCCTTTTAGGACTGGACAAAAGTATTCATTGCCATTACGGTATATCTAGCTTTGCAGAAATAGTGAGTGAAATGCCCTCCGCCACGTCCCAACGTATCAGCACCATCAGCAAAGAAGCATAGCATTTCTCTATAGCAGTGAACTCATATTTATTTTTGGAATGTGATTGAATCTTTCACACAAATTGACCCATGAACAAAGGATTGTTATCTTTCGTAAGGATGAACAAAAATGGATGATCAGCTCGGAATTCCACTGGTTTTGGTCTAATGATCATCATAACTTTAGTCCAAGAGAAAACTGTAGCGGCCGCCGCGGTTGTTCCTCCTTCATCCACCTGGAAATTGGTCTTGGACAAA